AGATTCCATGAATGATAATCACTTCAGAAACTTGGTGAGGGTTTGATTCCCACTGGACCAGCAGCTAAATGTGGACCAGGTGCAGTCAACCAGTGTAACTCACCATGGATCAAGGAGTCCACTAGGTGGCATTAGATTTACGACGTACCGGGAGGATGACGAATTTGGTCTTCAGGACATTTTTTTTTTGTTACGCACTCATATATATATTTTAAATAGTTTTCAGTCAAATGAAGCTGAAATACTGCAGTACTGTTCATGTAGTACTGCAGTTTTTGTGATATTTGGCTGAACTGTACTGACTACGAGTGTACGCTGGTGTTTGTGTATACAGTATTTTACAGCTGTGCTGCTTCAAGCCTCGGCCTCTGTTTGTTTTTTTGCAGCTCAGGTGTGAACAGGATGTGAACCAATCAGTGTCTGAAATGATGTTGTATTGATTTGGAGCAGAGCTGTCAGACGGAGAAGCCCCGCGGCCCTGTGTCCTGCTCTACGCCTCAGTTCTGACTTTTGTTTGTGGCTTTGGAGGATTTTTTTTTTATTTTTTATGGTTTGTTTGTTTGTTTGTTTGTTCTGTGGATTTTTTCCTCCTCTCGGCGTCAACTCTCATCAAACTGAACGTGATCCTCAAAGTGAGGAGAGAAAAGCTGTTTAAGTCCGGCCGTAAAACTGAGGAGCAGCCTGTGATTTGTCAAGAGTCGGGTTCAAAGCCCCGTTACAAACCGAGGCTTTACAGTCGCTCCGTGGTTGAACGTGAAGGTCGCACTGACCTCCACGTTTAACCCTTTACTAGACTTTAGGATGAAATAAAAACACTGACTTCACAGCTGACGTGCCTCAAATATTACCACAACATATCGTATCGCCAGATTCTTACCAACACTGCCCCCTACTGACGACTATTGACCTCATAATGGGTGACGTACGGAGGTGAGAAACTAATGGTTCACCTGGATCTGTACAGTACCTTCACCCCTACCTCCCCCCTACTCTGCAGCCATTTTAAAGTATTAAAGGCTGTTTAATGTTAAAATAAATTAAAAAAAGAAGGAAATCTCATTCTTAACCACATGAAACTACAGGAAGTACGGACAATTTTTAAAAGATGAAAAAAAAATGACCTTATTGTCAAAAAATGAACGTTAAATTCTTGGTTAAATTCTTCTACATCTGGTTCTGGTTCAGTCTTTTTTCACTATATTCGTCCTACGCAGACGATGTCACAGATGATGCAGAACTACTGCATGTTCGTTATATTCTATGGTTCTAATTAAAATATAAACCTGGTTTTTGAATCTTAATTAATTAATTTCTTTTTCTGTGTGTGTGGATTTGGATCCAGATGTTGTTTTTTTTCCAGCAGGAACAGAACCTGACGGTTCAGTGTTAATTGTCAATTTAAACCTTACGTTCTGGAGCTTCATCATTTATGAAACGTTACAAGAAGTCTGTCGAGATGGAAATAATAATAAAAAAAAAATAACCAAGTTAGACTTCGAGCAGCAAAAGTAATAAAACAGGAAGGAAACCTGAGCTCATTATGGTCTGGATGAACGCAGTGAATAATTGTATTAAGTGATGATCGAAGAGTTGTGTTTTAACTGTTAGAAGAGGCAGGTGTTGGGGGGGTGGGGGGGGGGGCGCACACACACACACACACACAGACACAGACAGTAGGAGCCATTAGACGTTCAGTTCCTGATAGAGCGTCTTATCAGTGAAGTCTGTCATGTGGCCGTGACAGAACAGAGATACAGACAGAAGCTGCACAGGATAAAACAAACAACAGAGGAGACGAGGCTTCAGGGCAGTCAGCTGTGACTGGCTGGATGGATGGGTGTGTGTGTGTGACTTAGGCCACTATTGATGATTCAATTTAATGTTTATGTCTCTTTGAGATTGAATATGAGCAGGTGTGTGTGTGTGTGTCACTGTACTTGTTGCCGTTATACCTGTGGGGAGAGAAGTTACAGGGACAACAAGTCCAGGAGCCGTCACAGAAACTCACTAAGTGAAAAAATAAATAAATAAATAAATTTGGTTTGTAATTATGTCTTTGGGTAAGAATGTGTTCAGACCTGCTGTATATTGGTTTGTTAATGTAATTTATATATAATATTAGTGGATGTTTAAAGTCTGAGAAAACACAAAAACCTATGTGTGTGTCTGAGCACATGTGTGTATATACAGCATCATCATCATCATCATCATCATCATCACCGTGTGTGTGTTTTATCAGGACCAGCTAAATGTTTCCTGCCACTCTTCCTCGCCGCCTCCAGAGACTCTGACCTTTACGGAGCTGCCGTGGATACGACGGGACACAAGATGCAGAGATACAGAGATGAAGATACAGTGGAGGGGGGGGGTGTGATGGACCAGACCGACAGATGAGAACCAACTACACGACTGTCGGTCCACAACCACTGGTTCCATTCTCACAACATTGAGTAAAGACTCCTTAAAACAGAGAATATCAACTAGCGGCCCGCAGCCCAAACACGGCCCAACGAATAATCCGGTCTGGTCCGTCAGTTGGTTTTAACGGATCAATTATATCAATTACGACACCAACGTAATCCTTAAACTCTCCTCAGAACTTTACAGCGTGGACTGAACAGACTATGACAACAAACTGTAGGGAATCGAACCTCAGGTGCCGGACACCGAGGGTTCAGAGTAAAAAAAAAAAAAAAAAGACTTCAAAGGTTCAACTCAACCTGATTCACTGTATTTTCAAGTGTTTGTTTTTATATTTAATGTCTGTTTTTTTCCCCCGCTCATCGTTGGAGCTTTTTGTACTTGGTTTAATTTTTTCAGGTTTAATTGATTTTGACGGCAGCAAACACAGATAAACGACAGGAAGACGAGCCTTTTAACGACACATTATCGTGGGTAAAAGTATTTGTGGAAGGAACTATGGTGTGCTGGCTTCTCCAAACACACCTACATTCCCTATCATGTACACACACACACACACACTCTCTCAGTAGCAGCGCTGGCTCCCGTGTTTGCCCGGGGATCAGACCTGTGATACGTTTACGTGGTTATTGACTCTGTTTGTGGAGAGACGACGTGCGTCGAGATAAAACAGGATTAATGGATCTGTTTATGAAGCAAAAACCAGGAAACGTGGAGTCAAACGCATGCACATTTCTTCTCCTATTTGTGGTGGAGCGTCAGATCTGAAATAGGACGTTAATGAAATATTCCTAAAGTCGGATTAGTCACAGGACGCGGCTGTCGGGTCCTTTCATCCTCGCACGCGACGCCAAGATGAGAAAATGTATTTAAAGAGTCTGCAAATCATTTTTGACTATATTTACTTATTATATATTTAATATCTTTAATCCCAGTCGGCGTCAACTCCCCGCAGGATAATTATATTTATTGGATTGGATGGAACACCGGGCAGAGATCCCGTTACATACAGGACTGGAGTCGTGTTTCACACAGTAACACAGTCGTTCATGTGTTGACGTGTCTGATGTAGGGTCTAAATGAGACGCAGGACGAGAACGGGGCAAATTAGATGAGACTTAATAGACAGGAGCCGCGGGTCGATCTGCTCTAAACTGATGAGATTCTCCAGAATGAATGAACTGTTGGTGGTCTCAATATGTGGCGCCGTGATGGACTGAACAGTGGACCAGTGAAGTACTCACCTTCACCTGAGAACTGGTCCTCCTGAGTGACCCCAGCTCCTCCTGAATGACCCCGACTCCTCCTGAATGACCCCGACTCCTCCTGACTGACCCCGGCTCCTCCTGACTTCCGGCTCCTCCTGAGTGACCTCGGCTCCTCCTGAATGTCCCCGACTCCTCCTGAATGACCCCGACTCCTCCTGAATGACCCCGACTCCTCCTGAATGACCCCGACCATGAATCAGTGTATGAACAAGTTCACAAACAGTGAAACATTAAAAAAATAAATGGTAAATTTTCCTCCATAACCTCTGCTTCGTGACGCAGACGGACCTGGGTTTAACACACACACATTTGACGTCATAGTACAACAGTCACAGGAGAGTGAACTGGTAAATGACAGATAACTGAGGTCGATGGAAACAAACTGAAGCGTAAAACTGTGGACCTGAACCTGGGATGCGTCATCAAAGTCTCCATTTTTCTCTGTTCCAACATTTTCTTTTCCTGTTTGGTGAGGGTCTGGGGGGGGGGTGCGTCATCAAAGTCTCCATTTCTTTCTGTTCCAACATTTTCTTTTCCTGTTTCTTTGTTTGTTTTAACTCTTCAAATGAAGCCACTCCACCTAGTGGCAGGTGCAAGAGAACGTCTTATTATCTGGGGAAAAATGAACACGTCTGCGCCATCTGGAGTGTGACTAAACTCGACGCAATTACGGGCCAGGCTCACATGTCAAGCGGGGTTATTCATTAACGGCCTCCACTCATCGTTTTCATCCAATTAAAAACTCCGACTGATTTTCTCACAGAGTCACGGTCAAATTCATCATCAGAGCTCATTATTATTCCTGAGTTCATGTTCTGTGCGTTGACACATCTTAACGAGCGAGTACGAAGTTCGGTTCGACTCTGTTCGTCAGTACTAACTAGGCAGTTGTAGCCTGTAGGTGGTGCTAAGTGCACACTGGTGAGACCTGTCCAACGTTGTAGATAAATCTATAAAATATTGAAAAATGTTCCACACGGAATAAATAAATCATTTAGACCTGTTAGTTACTGTGTATAATAAAATAATAATAATAAAAAAATAAATAAAATTAAAGGTGAAGTTGACGCCACAGGTGAGAGTTCTGATAAAATTCTAATAAAAATAAATAAATCTGTGCTGCTGTTGAAACTGTCGAGGCATAAAATGTCATCAACCAACTCCATCAAAGTCACAGGAGCGACTGCGTCTTCATCACCATCAGCATCATCATCTGACGCACACACACACACGTCCCCCTCCTCATCCTCACCCGTTTCCTTGTCTCACACACCCTCGCTGGTGCGACCCCTCCTCCTCCAGGTTCCGCTCCTCTATAAAAATCGCCCCCAGATTGAATCCAACACGCAGTGAGTTAAAAGCTGACGAAAGAAGAAGAAGAAGAAGAAGAAAATCCCATCTGTGCTGCTGTGAACCAACCTGTGGCTCCCACTCCTTCCACTGACAGTAAGTCCAGTTCACACTGTTTTTCTTTAAGGAATGTTCCAGTGATTTCACTCTTCATTACTTCAAGTTTTTTTTTTTTAATCTGAATGTAATTGAATTTTTTTCATTTTGTTTTTTTGTTCTTCTCAGACCTTAGATATAATTTATTTATTACTAAAATTCATAGTTTTACCTGAATTTCATTTTTTTTTTCTTCAGACCACACTACGACATGTGTGTGGTCTAAAATGTTTTTTAAAAATAATTTTAATTTAGTATTATGAATTTACCTTCTGTTAAATTTGAAATAATGTATTTCAAGTTTATAGATTATTAGATTATATATATATATATTTAATAAGGGAAAAACAATTTTTTTTTATGTTACCAATTCTATGGACTTTACTAACACGCCATGTGGAAGTAAAAAAAATAAAATTTTATGTGTCCATCTTCTCAGATGACCATGATGATGAAAACATGGACGGTGCTCGTTGCCGTAACACTGTGTGTGTTGGTGTGTCTGGGGACGCTGTCCGACGCCTACCCCCCCAAACCTGAGAACCCCGGAGACGACGCTCCCCCTGAGGAACTGGCCAAGTACTACACCGCGCTGAGACACTACATCAACCTGATCACAAGGCAGAGGTAATACATCTGCATATATATATATAAATATATATATATTTGACTGTTATTGGATTAGTGACGTGTGAGACCGTCGTATATTTAACTTAATTATATTACTCTTCTCCATATTAACTAATATGATATGATATTGTTCATATAAAATAATAAATCTGACATAATAATTAACAGACTGAAAGCGACTGAAACTGGAGCTGGAGTTTATCTTCAGTTCCTAATTTGTTTTCCAACCAGGACATTTCTGAACGTTCCACCCTCAGTTACTTTAGTCCAATATATTCCTGAACTTCCACTCACTCCTCGCGCTGTGTCGACTCTCCCTGAGCTCCTCGCTCGTCGACACCATCAGCTCTGTAGATGTGATTACGGTCCACTCTCCCAAACCTCCAGGCCTCACATCACCAGCAGCAGAGCGAATAAAACTGGTACAGATGCATCTGGGAAAAAAAAACAAACAAACACCAAATCCAGTTATCTCCGTTATCTCAGTGAGCTGCTCTGAGGTCGGACAGGAAGATTCACTTCACTTCACTTCACCATCGGCCTTTGTTCATGAAAGTCAAATAGCTGGTTGATATTTCAGTGTCTGGCTCCAAATGCCAAGTAGAAGTAGTTCACAAACGAAGACGCATCGCAGTGAGTGTCGGCCCGAGAGTCACATGAACGCTGAGCCATAACGGACGGCTGTGGCTCTGGTTTATAACAAACCTTTGTTTTAACTGTTGATTAGTCACTGATTATTGAAACCATTAGTCGGGTTAGTTTTTAATAATAACCGGGTTAATTGCATGAATATAAAATGACTCTTATGTAACTATTACCCCTCGTAAAACTATATGTAAACTATAAATACATTATTATATATATATATATTTATATATATATATATGCCAGTGAACACAACACTGCAACTTGGGGAAGAAAAAAAAAAGCGAAGCCCAAAAAACTCCGACCAAGACGTTTCACAATAAGTCAGTTCAAAGTACGCGTCAAAAATGCCAATTAAATTTGTTGGTAACTATTTAAATTTTTGATTTCTGTCGACCAATCGTTGCACCCCTAATGTCACTGGACAAATATGTTGTTGGCGTTCTGCTTCTGAAAAGATTTTTTCTTTTTTTTAATCACTTGCAACTTCAACAAATGTGGACGAGGATTGTTACACACAGTGAAAGCCGTAAGGTGAGACATTCAGGCTCTAAAAGGCTCTGACAGACAGATGGCGCCGTAGGAAACGAGTCAGGGACCGGAGAAAAAAAACAACAAAAAAACGAGCATTGACGACCGAGGAGATGTCGAGGCGCCGACGGGCCGTTATCAGAGCGGGAAACGTTTTACATCCTGACGTGTCGTGCTGCGCGACAGCTGCATGAGGCAGGGTGTGTGAGCAACTGGATGGCTGTACCACAGGGCAAAACACACACACACACACACACACTGCAGTGAGGGTGTGTAACGAAGCATCAGATTGGATGCTGGGTTCATGGGCGGAGGTGGAACAGGTGGTTGATGGGACTTCTGAGGAAACTACAACTCTGTGTTGAGTAACAGGGCTTTACACACACACACACACACACACACACACACACGTGACAATAACAACGTTCTAAGGAAGTCAACGGTGTAGACAACAGTTGTGGATCAACATCTGATGTCAGCCATGTCTTTGATGATGTCCTGGTCTGTGTCCCAGGTATGGGAAGCGCTCCACCCAGGAGGACATGGTGGCAGAACTCCTGTATGGTGTCGACAGCAACAGAGACCAGAGGTCAAGGTAAACGTCCTCTGATGAATCAGGATTAAAGAACTCTTTGTCTTTGTCTTCAGGTAACGTCTCAAACGTCGTTTTTGAATCTGGAGCCAAACGTTTGTTTTCCTCTGATGTGTTTGTGCAGATACGACGAATCCTACATGTGGTGACTCCACCCTCTCTCATCCGTCCTCATCGTTCTCTGGCATTCCCTCTGAGTGTGTCCCACAATGCACCTGGAGGTGCCAAAGCGTGCCTCTGACCTTTGAAACTCACGCCAACCGATGACCATCACTGACCAAAACTCAAGCAAACCCTATCCCTGTGTCTCGTACGGTCCCTCGTGTCGTCTTTACTCATCATTTGTCATTAGATAGAATAGAACATATCGTTTGGCTAACGTGGCTAACGTGGCTCAAGTCGGAAGTAGAAACTGCGTCTCTGTGTGAGTGTTGGATGTCGCTTCTGTCTCACACTGTTTCACTGTCACCATTAAAGTTCTTCTCTGTGATGAAATATCTCTGCTCCGTTTTTTTGTCTTCTTCACTTCCAACATTCTTTACTACTTCACTGGTGTGGAATCTACAGGCGACTAAACTGGTGTCTCATTCTATAGACCAGTGGTCTGTGTTAATGGGGACATCTGCCAGGTCCTTAAGAAGCAGAAGAAGAGACAGAAGTTTCCCCACAGCAACAAATAATGGAGTGTTACCTCTTCACAGCTGCTATAAAAAAGAAATAAATAAATGAATAAAAAGGACGACAGACACTAGTGTAGCAATACTGCTGAAAGATGAAGGAAACTGGATAAATTAAAAAATAAATTAAAAAATACGCAGAACCGCAGACACAAACACAACTTCGCTAAATGGGCATAATTTTTTTCATCTCCTACAAATAAAAAAAAAATACTGTAGTATAACCTGAAAAAGGTCTTAATTTTCTTTAAGTGGTAAAATGATACTGCATTGGTTGAAAACTGCTGCACTTTAAAATCTAACAGACCAACAGACTGGTAGACAGATATAGAGATAAAAGAGATAGAACAGCCATAATAACGTACCACAGATGAACCTGCCTCTGTATCCACAACTGAACCGGTCATTTATTTTTACATTTGTCTTCAAATTACGGAGCCTCTAACGAGAAATGCTCTATTTATTTATATATTTTACCATGTCCCATTAGGGCCTGACTGAGGGTAAAGGTCAACCCCGTGTAATAACCATATCATAACGGCTGCCTGTTTCTGGTGTCTCTCCAGGTTTAAGGCAGCATGCTGCCCTCTAGTGGATAATATAGATGCACCAAAAGAAAAAACAAACACTGAGGAAATAATGTGATTACACTGAACAGTGACAATACAAAGTGTGTGTTGAATAAGTCAGACTGATGTAAACACACACACACCTTCTGTTTATAAAAGTCTGGTTATAAATCCTCACCTCTACACTGTGATGAACCTAATATTTTAGAATCATTTATTCATAGTGGAGAGTGTTTATTACTATTCAAACCACAATGGCTTGAGAGCATGGGAATATATTTAATTCTCCTATTGTTTCTTAATAATTTGATTGTGATTTTGACGTGTATTACCCTGGAAAATAATATGATTTGAGCATAAATTAAAAAGTATGTAAAAAATGCCAACAATTCACTTCTTGACTTCTTAAAGTAATAAATGACGTATGTAAACCTTAAAAAATGCCAACAATTCACTTTAAAGTAATAAATGACGTATGTAAACCGTATTTGTTTTTTAATGTTAAGTGAATATTATTTGATGCGTCAGTAACTCACCTGTCCTGCTGCTGAGACAGGGGAACATCTCCATCCTGAACCATATCGACCTCTACCTGTCGGCTGACTTCACTGCAGCAGAGTGAGTGATGATGTGGGAAATATATATATGTATGTATATATATATTTCTTAAGAATGCACTGTAGCGCTTCCTGATTTCTGGTGTGGGTTTTTACATCGCTCAACGGTAGGTGGCAGCACCAGCCACTGAAGGTAGATGACAGGCTGTAAAGACTCCGCTAATTAGCGGCGCTAAGCACCGACCGACGACGTACCAAGCCCGCCGAGTTAGTTCGCTCCACGTCGCTTTTGTGATAAACACAAACTACCGCCACACAAACGACGTAACTTTTCTTCTTCTCAACAACAGCCTCATTTTTGGTAGATAACTCTAAGTCATGGTTAGCATAAATGTCTCTTCTCTCAGCTCCACATTAGCTTATCCTGTTAAAATGTTGGGTCAACTTCTCCGGTAACTTCCGGTAACGGAAGTGTAGCAGGAGAAGGCCGACTCTGATTGGCCACCTGTTTCCACCAGTTATAATCGAAGATATGGGCTCACACCGGATCACCGTCATCGACGTAAAATCACTAACTACGATCATATACTGTACGTCCTAGCTAAGCTAGTTTAAAGCTCAAGTAATAATAATAAAAATCATAAAATGCAACATTATCCTTTGGCTAACAATGACAGCTAAGCTAGTTTAAAGCTCAAATAATAATAATAAAAATCATATTTTTTCAACATTATCCTTTGGCTAACAATGACATATTATATAAACTATTTCCTGAAAAAAGTCAAATGAAATAATTTTCCTAAAAACATGTTGCTAGGCCCTTTTTAATGGTTAGAATTCAACCATGGATCAACAGTGAAGTATATATAATATATATATTTCCTGAAAAGAGTCTCAAAGTCTCAAAAGCAAAATAATAAAATAATAAAAATGCACTTTTCCCCATTCAAATAAACAACAATGTTTTGTTTAATGTCTATAAGTGATATTGATAATAAAAATTAAAAAAATAATAAAATAAAAATGCACCTATTATACTATGACATTTGTGTCTCTTCAACAACACATCTACTGCCATTATTGACCAATTTTGTACAAAAAAAATACAACCTGGCATTTTTTAAACCATTTTTAAACCAAATATATTCCTGTCTTTTTGTTGTTTTTTTCCCCCTTACCCTTGGCTTCCCTCTGATCAACATCCCTCTGATATTTACCTGCAGATGTGTTTCCTCTTTGCACACAGAGCTCGGTGTGTGTCTGTAACTGGAGAGGTCAGCATTCCTCTGCCCAGGCCTCAAATATAAAGACGCAAATTCTTGCAGAAATGGTCCACATTCCCACCGGGACTGCAAACCTATCCTGGGTTCCAGGGGGGGTGGCTGACTCAAGGTGGACAATCAGTGTCTTTGTGAGGCCGAGCTGATGCCCACAGAACAGGGTCAGTCTGCAGCCCCCTCACATCACATCGGCTGAGTGAGCGCCGCAGACGGTCCGCCTCGCCGTGGAAGACATGGATTACTCTGAGGAAAACAGAAACAACCTTCGTTACATGAGTTCATCGTTTACCTGTCATGTGATTTTAAAGACGTCTGCGCTCCCCCCTGTGGACTAAGAGTCTTCCAACAATGGACCTGGAGAAGGGTCACAGGACGTGTAGAACTTCCAGAGAACAGCAGGGAGCAGCGATGCT